GACCAACAGTCGGTCGAGTCGTCCACTTTTGACATTACGTAGGTACTTTATTTTTCTAACTTTTCTGAGTATAATAAATGTTATTTTACAAAAATAAAGATATAGTAATGCAATTTAAAGTCCTAAATTAATTATTTCGTAAATTATGACATTACTTACCTTATAATCTTGAATAAAAGTAGTTTAAAAATCGCTGGATTGTACCATGCATTCTGCCATTTTGCAGAATCTGACATGGTAGGTAACATAGTACATAAAACGCACGAATAATTGTGTCGATTTATTTAATTTTTATTCCCATCAATAGTCATCGCCATTGTTCATGATTCGCGAGTAAAACTAGTTAGCCCAGCGACCACAAGCGAAACGAAGCGACGATGTCGTGTCAGACTATTTACGCTACGCTTCACTACGTTGACCACGCAACGCGGCAACGGCAACGCGGTGATACGTGCAGTTATTTTAATTCTACAATAGGGACGCTTTACTATGGCCTAAATTTCCTGGTATGAAAAATATTACATATTATTATGAACACTATCTATGTACCGTTACATTTTTTTACTACATACCGAAATACTCCCAGGTTGACAATACACCTGTATCTCAATTTTAACTTAATCTAAACAATACGATTTTGTAAAATGCGCTAATTTATATTTATTGGAAAATAAGTTTTTATAGCGAAAAACTTCATAGTTTTCTTTGGTCGGAAAAGCCTAGTTCCATCCGGGTCACACGGCGTCGGATAAACCCTTTTCTTCAGCGCGCGTGATACTAGGCTCACAGTAAATACGAAGAGTTATACGGCGCGGCTCGGCCGCTGTATAACCGTAGGAGGGAAAGAGACACACCGGCGCTTGGAATGCTAGCGTTAGACAGAGATGGAGACCTGCGTTACGGTGAAGGTCAACCGAACTGATAGGATACGCAGTGTTATTCAAGTATAGATAAAACGTACGTATCAAGATTGTTGACGTGATAAAGTAAATGGATATTTTATTTAATAAATAGGCGATGAGCCTGTTTTGATAATATTGACACTGATTTCAATACTTGTTACAAAAAGGTGTAACTGAACGGAAATCGAATAGTGTTGAATTTTGTGTTGTTTTAAGTATGTATTTACTTATTTGATATGAATTTATTTTAAAACATACATCAAGTTATATGTAGTTACCATGTACATATGTAAAAATAATATAAATACAGGTTCATAACATAAAAACAAGAATTTCATAAAATGCTTGTCGGTCAACTCGTATTGTTTATTCTGTTTGTAGTACAACAAGACGTCGAGAAGTGTCAAACTAAGACGACGCTATGCGTCAGAGTGAGACAGACCAACCAGCACGTGCTTCCTTTCATAATTTTCGTTTTGGCTCCTCGCCCCGCTGCTACTCCGATATTTCATCTCATTGTGGGAATTTGTTTCGTGAGAATAGCACAAATTTTTTGCTTTTGTTTTAATTTCTCGTTTCTCATCGAAGAAGAAGCGATTCAGTAAAATTGATAAAGAAAATAGTTTATAAATCGCACCGAATTTCAGCCATGGTAGTTGTTTGTAAAGCCATTGCATACACCAAATAAGATTTACACATTATTATTTGGAATGAAAACTAATTTAAGTTGAAAATGAATAAAAATATCATAGGTTTAAATTAATAAGCAGTGTTTATGAAAGCTGGGTCGAAAACGAACTATTACAATATTGTAAACGTATTGTTATTAAGTACCAAGGTATCTACTTCGTCCTGGGTAAAAACGAACAGTTTAAAAAATATCCCATTCTTCTTTGCTCCAAAAAATACATTCCAACTTCCATACGATCAAGAGCATTAGTTAGTACTGAGACTCGTTAACCTAAGCTCAAGTCAAAAGGCACATTGACTTAATACCGAGTGGAAATGAATTACAATATAAATTAGTGTGAAACCGGTCTGGACCGGTTTCCGATCAGCTGGGTAGCCCGGTCAGGTCACATACCTACTACAGATATTATGTAGGGCTACGTCCGGTAAGTATGCGCCGTACATTTACGAGGATTTAGTTCAGTTTGGGACTGGCATCTTTGATGGCAAAAAATGCTGAGTTTTATGATGTCTCCGTAGATTTTCGTAGTTAAGTAGAAGACAGTATTACAAAGACTTATACATTAAAAAATTAATACATTCGATATCTATACCTTATACGTCAAAAAAATACATTAAAATCCGTTGATCATCAATAATACTGTCAATGAAATATATCAAATTATTACAGCAATGTGAGTAAATGCACAAGATTTTGATAAGGTTCAAACTGTTTGGGTAGTTATAGAACTACTTAAAAAGTTTGAATGTATTATACATAGGTATAATACATTATCTTCCTGTTCTTTGATATATCAATACAACTGAGAAGTGCTGAGAAGCTATGAAGAGAATTGGGGTTAGAATTGTAAATTCTATATTTACAACAACAAAATGGCAAATGGTAAACACAGAAGACTGAGATGGGAAGTGCTGAGAAGCTCTATTATAATTATAAGTAATAGAGCTTTAATGAGTAGGAATAAGCTTATGAACACTTGCTGTAAACGTATTAACATAGAGTTTGGATTAAGGAATGCAATTTTGAGTGAGATTAATCTCGATCGAAAACTGGGCGAGACCTCGTTAGACTAACGAGATTTTACAAGGTTTTTGATAATTCATTTGTTATTTTATAAGTAGTTAAAGTAGTCAAAGTAGAAATAATAAACTACACTAGATTGTATTTTATAATCTCGCGAGATCTCGCGTGATATTTGCATTCCCGATCGTAAGTACCTAATCTAAATATAGGGTTCCATCTATTAAAAACCCTTTGAGTACCGTCATTAGAGGTAAAGACACAATTAAAGGACAATAGGTTGCGGTCACCGGTGTCCTAACGGTGTTTGACAGTTTAAGACCATGGGTTATTTTATAGTCACATTCAAATACCTACTTATCTACCTACATAATTGGGTAATCGAAATCACAAAAACTTCAAAATACTTATTTGATTGCGAACGCAACAGTTCGATCGACACTCCATTGCAGCTATAGAGGTAGAATAGAGATGGGAAACGCATTGTTATCGAAATCGATGTTCTTTTTTTAGTTTTTATCTGAATGTGTGGTTTGATGGCGAGGCGCCCCTTTTCCTCACTAAATGATATTAACAGGTGACGTGGGGTGTCCATTCATCTGGTAATCCTTTAATCGCCGTGGAAACACATGGGGTAGCTTCTCTTTTATGATCGAGCATTCAAACTTCTAATTGCTTTGTTTTGTTTTCTCGTTTCTTTGTTTTATTTTTTTTATATTATGCTACCTTTCATATGTTATAGATACCTAGATACTTAGCTATTTAGGGCTTAATAAATATTTTGAAACTGATTCCTATCAGAACCCGATAGATAGGCAGTAGAGAAACATCAATCAAACGTTGCTACTTTTTTAAAGGCTACCGTTTAAAAGAGGAACTCGACTAGTTTCGCGCCATGCTGCTCCTGAATTCCTAGTCAAAGCAGTTTAAGATTTCTATTACGTACTTAGTATATCTTTGCTTATCATTACATAGTATAAAACTAAGTCGCTATCCGCGCCGTCTGTCTGTCCCTATGTATGCTTAGATCTTTAAAACTACGCAACGGATTTTGATGTGGTTTCTTTTACCTAATAGATAGAGTGATGCTTAAGGAAGGTTTATAGATATGTATAATACATGCATATTGCACTCGTGCGAAGCCGGGGCGGGTCGCTAGTAAGTAAGTAGTAATAAAATACACAAATAATTCGGACTTATACTTTTTCGTGGAAGCGAAGGAAACTAAATCTTGGGAAGTTAGCTTCTTTGGACCATAAGCACCTTCATCCATTAAGTATTGAACTCAGTTAAGGCATTAGGGACGTATTCTTTGGCTTTTCTGTTCACTCTATCTTCGTTCTTCTTATCCTTTGTTACTTTCTACTACATAAGTGTTGCTTTCGAGACTCCGTTTATGTACCTATATGGTGACATTTATTTTAATTAGTAATAGACAATGTCTATCTTAATACTTACCAATAAGTAGGCAGGAACTCATTTTAACAAATATTAACTTTCATAAAAAGGAGTATGTTCTAAACTTAGTGAGGAATGATTAAGGAACTGAGTAGAACTCACTGATTCTAAAGCAAAGTTCACTTAACTGCCTACTTATTTATCTACGTGAGTACCTACAACTTAATTCAGATTTTTGCTAATTGTATCAGGACAAAGTTGTTTCGTGTCGTATAGGATGGAACTTTATAGGTTTTGATGTATTTTTTCCTAGTTTCATGTCATGCAAAGTATCTATCTACCTAAGTACTTTGTTCTCTGTTCGGCAATAGTAAGGACTGTAAGTGGCTTATGGTTCTTGGCACTTACCATTAGGTAGGTGTGTAGGTAAGCAGGTAACGGATACCTCTTAGCTTATCGTGATACCTTTGTATAAGATTGTTGTCTTGCTCTTTAGGTGCCTTCATTTAACAGAGACAGTGAGGGGGCTTATGACGTTTGTGGCAGTTCGATATCGTTATATAGGTACTTACTTATCTAGTTTGGTATTTACCTATGTGTTACCAACAACTTAAACTCAAAGTCAAAGTCTTTATATGCATGTTAAGGTAATAGGTATAGGTACTTACATACAGGTCTTAAAGTGCGAACGATTTTAGAATCCGAGGACGATTGCCTATTGTATTTTTAATTATGTTACTGTACTGTACCTAAAATATTTAGCTAGATTTTATGAGATCACAAATTTCGTCAAAGCATATGAACAAAGGAGTGATATAAACTAGAATTTCATTTATTAATCACTTGTGTATTCAAAGTATTTATGTCTAGTTATGTTGGACACGATATGATAGTTGTATTTACGATGACGTGTACAATAAATAAGTAATTGTCGTGTCCTGGACGCGTGCCGCGCGTTGCAGCCGCCACGTCACTGTGTTGTTGTGCAGAAGCGGCGCAAGCGGCCATGACGGTCGGCGTGGCGAACGTGCTCTGCGACGAGCGCCCCGCCCCACTGGCGTGGCCAGCTCCGCCCACTGCCGCACCGCCCGCTCCCCTCTGGCCGTACCCCGGTGAGTCACCTCCTACTGATATCTGCGACCCTGGTAGCTACGCGCCAACTGCATTGCGAGACCGCCGTTTCAGCGACATCGGACCCCGGCCAGAAATGAAAATTTTAACAGTGGGCAATTCTTTAAGCCAATCTATTGCTATCTCTTTCTTTCCCAAAGTTAAAAAAGAGATAGAAAATAGGTCTTACTAAAAGGCGCCTAATTCTGATCGAGAATGCCGCCAGTTTGGATACACCACCTCTTCAGTCATGTTGCTTTGGTAGTAGCATTGCAACTGTACTCGTTCGGTCAATAGTCGATGACCGGTTTCGGTTAAGCGACCAAATTGCGTAGTAGCTAATGGTAATGGACTGCATCGATAGAATGGTGTACTGAATTTGGCAGGGTTTTACGATGACGAAGAGTTTGCGCGTGGCTACTTCGACGCTTTATTTTAGTTATTTTTTTATTAGTAGTAGAACATCACTATAATTTATTTATAATAAAAAATGTTTTGATAGATTTTTAGCAATTAACCTGTCATTAACTGCGATAACCTTCGTCACACACACTTTTTAGTAGTTCGATACAAAAACTAGGTACCTACTAAAAAGACAACTGATTTATTTATCCAACTCAGCTTTGCTAACGCGAATTAATGTCATGCTTTGACAGCCTTCCTAGGTACCTAAGTATTGTATTACGAACTTGAGTAGGTACTTATTTTACTATCTACTTAAGTATCTATTTAAAAACTATACTCACCTATCTATTTATTATGTAGTTTTCCAAAATTAACCGTCTCTTGATAAGAAAGATTGTTAACATTCCACATAGTGAAATCGATCCAAAACAATTTAAGCACTTCGTTAACACTCGCCTAATCAATTATAATGAAACCTAATCCTACAGAACTTCCCAAAGGTAAGGAATAATTTATGCGGAACCACGCATACAAGCCACGAGACTGGCTCAGTAACCCGATTCCGTTTATTATGTCGATCGGGCCTTTCATCGAGTTTCGTACGTTTTTTAGCCTTTTTCTCATCATTAGGTATAAATTAATGAAATCCTTTTGCCATTAAAACGACGGCGTTGAGTTTCGCACTCGTCAGAGCAATTGTGCAGTTGAATGGGCTGGTACACTCAGCGACAAAAGTTAATTACTGAATGTGGCCGACTATGAGGGAATGAATGAGTGATTGTGGATTTTTAGGATTTTGTTTCTAATTGTGTATCTGTTCTTCATTAAAATTGTATTATTATGAATTGTTTAGTATAAACCTTCTCCTAATTGATTTGCATTAGGTTAAATAGAGTTTGATTTATATCGATATCGATCTTTTCGTGAATGAGTATGAGTCTGATGATAATATGCCTGTATGCCTAATCAATATGATAATATGCCTAATGTTGTCAGTTTATGAAGTGAGGTTTGTTTCAAAACGTAGGAGAAAACGAACACTTTTAATTTGAACTGTTCACGGCCAATACTAAAATATTGTGGCTTGCGAATTGGGATATCTTAATTGTTAACACTTGATATGGGCTATCAAATGTTATCTATCGTAATAGAATATAAATCCTACCTACTTCTCTTTATCAAATCCGTTTTTCCCCTCAAAAGTTTAGGTAATTTACTTCCCAAATCTACTGCAGTTATAGATTTTTGGAGAAATTATTGAACCACTACTTACTTTTAGCTGCCTATGTGTAATTATTCTTATTATTCAGTTTAATTATTTTATCTTTTACGTCAGGGACGATTTATCAATCGTTAGTTAATTCTTAATTGTAAAATAAACTTGACATTTGACAGTTTTCAGTATATGGAAGTATGTATTGTCAAGTATGTATGTTCAACAGTTATTGCTGAGTTAAAATTTATCTGGCGTCGTACAAATTGGTTCTAAATTTACTGCAATTTCGAAGAAAGGGTTCAATTAAGAGTAAAAAAAGAACTAGTGATATGTTTCGTGAGAAGATGGACACGTGAAATTAACTGGATAGTTATGTAGATGACTAGCCATGATAGATAACATAGATAGATAGATAACTGCCCATATCTCATGTACCTAGCTAAGTAGGTATATAGTTATTGTCCGATCCATAAATATGGTTAACTAACTAGCTTCTGCCAGCAGCTTCGCCCGCGTTCTTTTGGGATAAAAAGTAGCCTATGTGTAATTCCAGACCATGATCTACTTTTGTTCTAAATTTCATTTCGATCCTTTCAGCCGGTATCACGTAAAGGAGTAACAAAACAACAAACAAAGTTTTGCATTTATTAAATTAGTAGGATGGTAGGATATCCAGTTTTAGGCTTTAATGGTGGTGTTAGTGATAGTATTTGATCGCGCTAATCTTTGAAACCAGTTAAGTACCTAATTTAAAAACATATTTTTTGCGAGAGTGAGGTGTCAAATTCCTGAGGATCACTACAAACTGAAATCAATCATCGCTGAATGCTAACGGGACAAACAACAATATCGACCTATAAGTTCCTATAATACAAATTACTTGGAACCAATAAATTATTGGCTTATTGTAATTAATGCAATAATTCAAAGTTAACAGCATAAACAGCTGCAGTAGTCCGATTAATGGCTGCCATAGACAACTTAATGGTTAATAGAGAAATATTACCCATAGAAATATTAGAATACTTTAATATTAATAAGTATCTAGAACTACAGTGAATAATTACTCAGTTGTTCTTTGAATAAACTAATTAACTTCACGACTTTGTTCCCCTGAAGAACAAAATGCAGGTATTCATCAGCAGACACAATTTTCGCCAGATATTTTTTGTTTTTCATGTACTAAAATGCACTTAAGCTTATACGTGGCAGACTAAACTATGGCTAAGTTTATACTTAGGTATACCATAGCTATAGTTCTGTCAATGTTATATGTACTTTTGTAATGACTTATGTCAAGCGACTGAGAATTTCGAACATCGAAAATATCAAAGAGTTTCAAGACTGTTTGATACACAATATGATAGACATAGAGTTTTAACACCCATATTGTGGTCGGCAGTAGCTAGTCACTGGACCCACAAACTGTTGGAATAAATACCATACACAACACACATAACATCACGCATTTTATCCCCTAAGGGATACGCAGAGGTGCACATCATACGGCATTTATTACCACTGTACAATATAAAAGCCACTTTTCACTATTTATGTTATGAGTCCCATGTAATAGGAGGTGAGAATATTGCCATATACCGGGCACATTTCCAGACTCCGTGTTACTACTGAAAATTAGAAAGAATAAAATACCTACTTTGCTACCTATTTTCGTTAAAATTAGGGCCTGTACAGATTGATTTATGACGATTATTAATAAATGATATCAGGGAAAGTTTAAGAAGAGTTGAAGAACTAGCTCAGTAGTGGATAGTGTAATAGTGGATAGAAATAAGCGAATGATATGATCATGTCAAACTAACTAAAAATAACAAGCTACTGATCAGTAAGCTCCCGCGACCGCGCACGCTGCTCATGAGGAAGAGTCCCTCTGTGACTTGAAACTAGTAGAGCTATTCTCAGTATATTTACGTGAGTAACTCGTAATTTTTTACATTCAGTAAGTCTCGTGATAGTTATGATGATAAATTTCTGTTTGTCCTCAACTATCAATAGTTGCTCGACTATATGAGCAGGTAAGCTATTTTCGAACTTTCAATTCGAAAGATCAAAGGGAACTCGATCGCGGTCCACCATATCATTGGTTGTGAGAATAGTTTCGACAAATGATGGGCGAGACTGCGATCGAGCTCACTTCAAAAGTTTGAATGGACTGTCACAGAATAAATTCATTAGGATGTTTTACGGCTTACTCACGCAATTATTTGACGAGGAACTCGACTAGTTTCAAGTCATGCTAGAGGCTTATATTCATGAGCAGCATTCCGTGATCCCCGAAGCAGCGACTGTCGCGCTTCTACTGTTACAGATTAGCCTAGTAAGTTCGTATATCCTTACCTAGTATGTAATGTAACACAAATGTTCCTAATTAACAACTCAGTTATTTTTTTATAATAACTATCGTGAGACATACTAAATGAGCAGCGTGCGCGGTCGCGGGAAGAACCCCTCTGTGGTTCGAAACTAGTAGAGCTTTTCTCAGTATATTCACGTGTGTAACCCGCCATTTTACTTAACTCAGTTATAAATTGTTAGCTATCTATTTACGTTTGAACTTTAATAACGAGCTGATGTTTAACATAGACATTTAGACAACCATGAATTAAGGACCACGGGACAGCTATTGCAAAAATATGAAAAAGCTATATTATAAGAGTTCGTTAGCTATCATTTTAAATTCATGTCTGTTAGCCTATGATGTGTAGCATGTCTAGAAATTGGTTATTTAAGTTAGTTTTTTTTAATAGCATTTGTTTTCGGACAGTTACCTAATTAGGTTCAATACAATTTTCAAACGTAGATACTTAATTGTTAATGTAGCTAAATAATTCGGTGAACCATGTTAAAGATTTTGAGCATTGATTGTTATTGTTATCTCTCAGGCCAAATCATAAAAGTGGCATTTTCCCGACGACTTTAGCTACAAAATAACTAAGTATAGTCTGTTGATTGTAAAGTAGTCATGAATAATGAGCCACTTAATTAATATTACCATCGCGAAATATAACACCCGCGATACAGTAATCACCAAATACTTCTCACGTGTCGGCCACTTTAAATTGAATGACGACATATTTCTTGAGACGATAAAAAACATCATCAGATCCATCGCTCACCCGCATCCATCCGCTAAATCGTTCCCCATGAACGGAACTCTGTCACTTCCACACCATAAATTATAACACCATAAAAAAACATAAAAACTCATTTATCGATAAACCGGAGTCGACTTACGTGCAGCCCTAACATTTATCGCTCCGCCCACAAGACTCCGCCTACTCGGCGCCTCGACCAATAAGAAGCCGTCGCGCCTACAAAGGCAGTCCTTCATCTTCGCCGCCTCGATCTTTTTAGTGTTGTGAATGACTTTTTGCGTTTATGTTTTTCTTGTAATAACAAGTTGTGTGGTAATGGCGATTTTTGCCGCGTCTCGGACGCACGCCGCGCGTTTGACACCTCACGCGACCGTTGAAAAAAAAACATGTTCACTACAATGATTGATTTGACCGTAATTGGTGGCTTGATACACTATCTGATAACGAAATTATAATTTAATAGCTATTTATAGTACGATAAACTTTTGTAAACAGGAAAGGAACTGATATCTTTGTGGTTTACAATCGAAATCAAAAGGTGTCGATTACTTTCAAGAAATCGATTTTTATCAATATTGCCTACTAAACCGAATTTAAGCTCGGATTACTTAGGTATTAAGTAGTATCTACTAAAATTAGTTATGCAGGTATCTAGGTAACTAAGTATAAGTAAAAGAAAATGGATCAAATGGATGGTATGGAGTTATCATGGCAATAGACACAGTTTAGTTTTCATTTCGATTGGACAACTAGGTGATACCTAGGTACCTACTTAAATGGTATTAAAATCTCTGAAACCTAGAACTCTTACAGCGTCAGAGTAGATACATATCTGGGTTACATATCAGCGTTTCAAGAAATCCCAGGTAAGTATTTTACGTGTCTGTGGTCGATCTTAGGAGGTAATCACATAGAACTTAGGTGCCTAGTTAATGAGGAGGTTTGGTCTGAACTCTCGAGCCGCTGTGCCTCACGGCCATCACATCTGCTTTGTCTGTCCATTGTGCAAATTGACATCTTGGTAATAAGCAGTCCGTCATTTAGCCTTTTACATTTAAATAGGTGCCTATCTACGTTTTTAATCGGCTAGACTTTTATGAAAATTTGTATAGAACTAAATGACAGGATAATAATATTCTTGAACTGAACTTGCGAATTAGTTTCATTGTTCGATTTTGCTTAGGTATTTCTGTTATTCGAAGTTTCCTACCGACCTGTCTAGGTATTTGCGATACTACATATTTTAATTATTCAGAAGTTTTAATTGTTTAAAAAAAACCTCAGTAGTAGCACGGAGTCTGAAAATGTGCCCGGGATATGGCAATAGGCTCACCTTCTATTACATGGGACTCATAACTTAATAGTGAAAAGTGGGTGTTACATTATACAGTGGCATAAAGTGCCGTAATGTGTACCTCTGCCTACCCTCGGGGATGTTTTAATTGTTCAGAATATTAACTTATTGAAGATGTATTGGAAGGTTTGGTAAGGTGGGCTGTGTACCTCTAGGCCTCTAGATAAATTCACTTGGGAACACAACACAGCGAACGTGGAACCACGGGACCACACATTAAAATACCTTTTTCACATGGCAAAGAGTTAAAAACTATTTCTCATTCAACACATCACTCAATTTAAACCAAATAATTTAAAAACGACCGCTTTTCAGAAACGTTTAAAATTAAAGCGATGCTAATGGTCTCATTCTGTTTCTTTTTAACGCACTAGTTAAGTGTATGTGCCATCTCTTTCCCGCTCGGTAGGGATGTGAAAAGAATAATGGATTAATTGGAACAGTAAAACGCAAGTCATTAAGATGCGTTTCGATTCGATTCAACATTAGTACACGGGGTAACAAAATGAATTTTAAACATCGTTCGGAATTTATTTAGATGCTTGTTTGTTTTAATTTGGTAATTAAATAATTAATCAGGCAAATCTAACATAGGTAGGTAAGTACCTACTTATTTACCTTGGTTGGAAGTATGATAGTCAAAGTGAAAGGATTTATTTCGACGAATCTTTAACACCAAATTAGATGTCCGTCTGTCGCTTCGTCGGTGAGACAGTGAAGTTAGCTGCTCTTTCCAAAATTTGTGATGAGTAAAATGTACCTATCCAGTAATTTCTCTGAAAATGGGAACAACTAATTTAATGGATGTCCGAATTCTGATTTCGTGGACTAACTTGTAGTTAGTAAATGAAAATACTTATGTGAGACATACTTACTTATTATGTGCTACGTTAGACACGGCAATAGTTGATAGTATGCATGCAGGCCTAGCATACAGTTATTAAAGCTGAACACATTTTATGCTAATACTCGGCTAACTACTCGGCTATGCATTATAAATGAACGACCTAACTACCCTGCCTAACGAAAAAAATAATTAATACTTGTTAGGTACTGCAAGTACCTGTGGTAGGTACATACGTAGGTACATTGTAGGTAATTGGTGGTAATTCAAGCCGTATCGTTCTAGTGAAGTTAAAAATTACTTATAGGTAAGGTTAGGTTAGGTACTTCATTGTCATTTTCCTTACAACTTATCGATATCGATACATCTCAAATGTACCACCTTCCTAAATTATGCTTATAAAAATATGCCTTTCAATAAACAAATGTAAGTTCTGCTATAGGTACTTAGTCCCTGCGGCATATTTAAAACACAAACATGGATATAAAAAGTAAATTCCCATCAAAAACATTAACATTCCCGCACGTCTCCGGAAGCGCGGGCGCTGAATATTAATACAATCGGCTCGTCCCTACACTCTGACTAAATCATGACCATACGACTAATGGACAACTCATATGCTAATACAACTGTACGATGTGTACACTTCTTGAGTGGTGATAACTAGATTGCATGTTATATTATGAGATTAGACAAATTGACACTATTAATATTTTAGTTAATTATATTATACCTAGTAGTATTTTATGCAATTACCACCTACTCATTCGGTACTACTTACCTCGTAACAATGAGGTATGTTGGCTTAGTTACTTGTAGATCATGAACTGATAGGTGAACCTACTTAACAAGGTTGCAAGTGAATTGAAAATTAACGATGGCTATCTCTCGTTTCCAGCTCAAGTGTCTATGGAGAGTATGATGGTCGGAGGTGTCGGTGTCGGCGGCGTGGGCTCCGTGGGTGGCGGCATGTCGAGCGGGTTCCAGCTGGTGCGGGAACCCACGTCCGGAGCACTCCTACTGCTGCCCACACCTCCTGACCTACCACATGCAGTCGTCTGGGGAGGAATGCCCTACCAATCAGCACCACTGCTCCTCCCTCAAGCGCCGCACCCGTCACATCACCTACAACTACTACCAGGCGACCTCCTCGCCAGTACAGCGACGTTACAACACACCCACACACATTCTACGCGCTTAGTAACTCTGGCGCCGGCCCCACAGCCTCAACCGCACCCAGCACATACAGCAGATAAAAGAAAACCTATCATGCAACCTCTGATTACGCCCCATCTAATCAAGATAGAACCTGAACCCCAGCATGAGAAGCCACAACCAAGCTATGCGCCAGAGCCTGTTCAGCAGCCACTGATTACGACGCACTTGTACTACCAGCCTGACTACTCAGAGCAGGCGTGTCGGAGTCAAGCCACGTCACCAGCTGCGCCTCCGACACCACCTCCTGATGCACCTGAACTCCCAGCACACAGAGATGCTTCTAACCAAACAGATCACATTGATGAGGATGATGAATCGCCGAATCATGCTGACGAAGATGAAAGGGACGTAGCATGTGTTGGAGTCGCACATTATCCAGAAGAAAATATGTTGCAAGCACAAACGCAATTGTTGCAACATCAACCCATGGATGAAGAATCTTCGGAAGGACTCGCAACAACTGTTGTGGGAACAGTTGAAAAAGCAATAGATACAATTGAAAGAGATGATGGACTAGACAACTCTAGTAGTAATGCTTCTAACGACTTAGTGATAGACACTGCGAGAACAACACCAGTTCCCCATCCTCCACAAAATACAAGACCTCCAGTAGACGTCAGTGGTTTAGAATTGTTGTCAAATAGTATCGAACAATTTGAACGTACTACACCTGGAACAAGTATGCCAACATTAGATCCAGCCCCATTAACTGTAGACACGAGAACACCGACAAAACTTAATATTTTAATAAAAACATCGCCTAAATCTCCACCCAGGACAGAAGCCGAACCTCACAGACGTTTTGAGTTTCCTCCTACAGACCCGTCTACTAGTGAACAGACAAAACCTTCCCTGGATGGTTTGGGATTGTTATGTGCTCTAGCAGAACAAAGGTTTATGGAAGAAGTGGTGGAAAATCCTCCTCAAAGCATACCAATTGCATCCCGTCCTTTTATCAAAAGTGAACCGTTATTAAGTCCCACCGACAGAAGTCGTTCCGCAGACTCGTCTAACAATAAAAAAGACAGACATAGACATAGGGATGACTCTAGTGGCGAAAGGAGGAAAATAAGAAGTCGCGATAGAGAAGAAAGGTTACGTCATAAACTTGAAAAAATGCGTCGACACAAACGAGAAAGGGAACGAGACGAGAGCAGAAGTAGTGGAGGGGAACTAGAGACAAGTCTAAGGAGAGTAACAGCGTGTTCTTGTAACTCTGTCTCATGTACGCATAACACTAACGTTCGTTCAGCTCATGCACTCGCTAGTGCGATAGAAAAAGACATGCGTGAGAGACTGTTAGCACTGGAGAGACAATTCGATGAGAGGAAAGCACAATTAAAGGCGTTAGACCCGCCATTACAGACGCTATCTACGTCCACAACGCCGTCAACTCCGGCATTATCCCCTGATTCAGATAGAGGTTCATCTAAGAAACGTAAAGTTGGAAGACCCCGTAAGGTCTCCAGTCCAGACTCGACCGAGACTATAGTAGCAAAGAAGCCAAAATCGAAAAGTAGTTTAGTAGGCTACCTTTTGGCAAAGGGCAAGCTAAAAGGTGGTATATTATGCACAAGGGGAGAACCTTCTAGGGAAGATATCAACCGAACAAGTAAAGTGCGTCCTAAGTTGAAAGCTGAACCTATTATGAAATCATGTTCAGATCCAGAGGAAGCAGAGTGGGCTCTCAACAGATCAGCGAGTTCTTCTATGGAGAGCCTTAACGAAGTCCGACAAAAAAATAGAGAGAAAGTAGACAGACTGGCTCGAAAACATTCGAGAGATGACATACCCGAACTCGAATTCGCGTTACGACGTGCCAGTGCTTCGAGTGATAGTGACAAAGAGAGACGACGTGCGAAAAAGAGACGAAAGAGTCACAAGTCAAAGGAGAGAACGGGTAATGAAACAAAAGAAACGCCTACAGAGCCGGTGGTACCACCACCGATATCAAAGTGCACATTGACAGAAGACAAGATAGACCAGTCTCCTAGAGTGCTCACTGCCATGGGAGGACTGTTCTATGCAGGAAAACTGAGTGCTGTGACTGCACCTGATGTGTATGCCATCACTCTTGATGGAGAAAGAGGGAATAAGCCTCATATAATGTCCAGAGAAGAAACGTTGAGGGATGCTGTAAGTTCTTGATATATATAAAGTACTTCACTATTGTTGTAAAAAGAAAATACAATATAAAATACAATGTAAATTTCAGATCCTGGAAGTCAGTCCTACGTCAGTAGCAGAACTGCCGTCTGGTACACGAGTGTGCGCATATTGGTCGCAGCAGTACAGGTGCCTCTACCCAGGTACCGTGGCGGTCTCGTCTCCAGACCCTCATGATGATAAGTTCGTTGCCGTGGAGTTCGACGACGGCGACTCTGGCAGGATAGCTATCGAGGATATCAGGTTCTTGGAACCAAATTATCCTGTTGTTGGTTAGTATATAAAATTCTATAAATAAATAACGTTTATCAGATATTTACACTACTTTTCAGAGAAGTAAATCTACATATATGTTTTAATTCCTTACTTTTTTATTTTGCAGAATATGAAAATCCATTATTCACACTTGGTAAAAGAAGAAGAAACACCAGTGTTAGTGGTGTTAGCACAGAAGAAAAGAAAGTGTCCTCGGTTCCACCGCAACCAGCTACATCCAGCACAAGTATTGAAGGTAAACCACCAGTAACAGAGCCGGTCGTCGTCAGCCCTAAGGACGACGAGGACAGGCATAAAGACAGAAAGAAACTTAAGAAGCATCGAAAAGACAAAATAAAGCGCCATTCCAGTGAAGATGATCCGAATTCAGTGGAATACGTTAAAAAGAAAAAGAAGAAACACAAATGTTGCGAGGAACATTGCAAGCACAGGAGACATCACAAGAAACACCACAGAAAGCACCGAAAGAGACATCACTCGAGCTGCAAAGAACATTCTAGTTCATCTGGTGATGATCAACAAAGAGTTAAATCGTCTTCAGACTACATCGATTCGAACAAATCTAATGAAGACTCAATAGACTCTAATGACAGACTATCCACACTAATAGCAGTGGAAAAGTCGCCAGAGGATAAGATGAAAACTGTGATAAAGAAGGCGGTGTTGTCAAAGAAAAGTTTAGTCAAAACCGCAGTTTTGGACTTTAGCAATTTGGGCAAACTTACTCTGAAAAAAGAAGAGGAGAGTAAAGATAATCTGAAGGATAGTGGCATAGGATTGGAAGAAGAAACCAGTACTGCTTCAACCAGTGATGCTAAAAAGGTAGGTGTGATTGACTATACTGTAATTGATATTTCCTTAAGATATTCACACGTTCATCCTCGTTGCATTGTGTTTTTGGCTGACATGGCTTAATGTCTTTAGAAGGCGAAGCGTCGCACGGTGTCGTCGACGTCATCAGACGGCGGTTGCGGCGGTGTCAGCAAGATGGCCGCCTTCTTGCCTGGTGGCGCTCTGTGGCGCTGGCACGGACCTGCCTACCGCCGCACTGCACGCCCGCGACACCGCAAGCTATTCTACCGCGCCATACAGCGAGGAGAAGAAATCCTGCATGTGAGTAATTTGCAGTACTTGATTAAAACCTTAGTACTATTATTTTTTTAATGAAAAGATATAAAATAACTTAATGTTTATTACTTTCGAATAATTCATCACTAAACAAAATCGTTAATAAATTGTAGGTGGGTGACGCGGCAGTGTTCCTGTCTACGGGCCGGCCGGACCGGCCGTACATCGGGCGCATTGTGGCGCTGTGGGAGGCGCGCGGTGCCATGGCTGTGCGCGTCAAGTGGTTCTACCATCCTGAGGAAACTGTCGGCTGCACTGACCAGCTGCACTACCCGGTAACTTGCTTATTTAGAATATTCTTTGTGGCCATCATTAAATTTACAATACAGCGCTATCATTTTGATTGACTTCTTACTTCGTTTATATTATACCATCTTTTCTTACCTTCCAGGGAGGGTTGTTTGAATCTCCACACACGGACGAAAATGACGTCCAAACGATATCTCACAAGTGCGAGGTACTACCTCTGTCGCAGTACAAGGAGCGCATGGGCGACGACCCGGTCAAGTACAGCACAGTATACGACAACAATGACGTGTACTACCTCGCCGGGAACTACGACCCAACACCGCAAACTTTGCGAATGGAACCAGACATACCGTTCGCAAACAAAACGACCTCCTAAACGGAACTGTTAGCCTGATACTTTGACATCAATGTCATTGTGTCGAGTTGAGAAGAAAATGAAACAAAAATTGCAGATTTAATTTTATAGAGTGCAATAACGTTCTTGATCGTTTAATAATTTTTATTTTCTAAAGTCGCAGTACAGTCACAGTATCGTGACGCCGTAATTTAAAAGTACACAATTTTGTCTATCTCGGTGTTAGCGTGTTTAAAATAGATTTTTGCAATAATAATATGTTTCTTCCATTAAACTGATCGTAGCTTGGAGATTCACCTATACAGGTCTTAAAGTACAAGTAGATTTTTGAGGCTCAAATTGTGGCAATTTTTCACATTCACCCGTCCTTAGGAGACGACTTATATTGACGTAATAAAACTCGAATTATCTTAAAAGTTACCCTCGTTACGTTATATTTAGTGGTATCCATTTGGAATGTTGACTTGTCTGGTGCGTGGGCCGAGTTAGTGAGGCGTGTTGTTGATCTGTGTGGACTACTGGTCGAGTGTCGAGTGGGGCGCGACCGATGGTGATGACATGTGATTTTATTTTTTATACGTGTAACGCTGTAATCTCAGTGTATAGATGTATTTTTCATGTATATTATTCGATTAGATTTTATGTATACGTAGTTTTCCTTGGTATAAATGTCTATTATCATAAAATGCAATACTTTTTCAGCTAGTCCCCTTTATTCAAAATTTACCAGTGATTTAAATTAGTCTTGTTTTGATTACTTTTGGAGAAATAAATGGAAATATGTATTGTCTTAATTAAGGTTCTTGGAGCTGTTTGTTATATTGTTTTATCGATGATTTTTATATTATTCTTGGTTGATAATTTTATGTTGATTGAAGTATACTTTTATATCGAAATGGTGCTAGACGCTGATGCTACTCGTTTACGTTTCGCCGTAGTAGTTAAGATTGTATATAAGTAAGTTTGGAACTAGTTGGTATGTGTAACTTTACGATTCGTTCGTTCTGAATTTTCATTTCATCTGCTTATGCTCCTAAACGTTGCCATTTTACTGTAATATCTACTTTTTATATATTTTTAATTAGTATTATAACTATATTATTTCGACAGGGTATGGTTGAGCCCTTCTTTGGATCCTTTTATTCATATCTTGATGTGTAAGGGACTGAAAAGACAGGGATGTAGGTAGGTCGACCAAGGGTAGGACTGTAGGGTAGGTTTTGTACGGATTGGCCAATGAGATTTATAAGAAAATGTTGATTCAGCCTAAGCGTAAATGTAACGCAATGTTACGAAGTATTACTGTACTAGTACTAAGCAGTGAATCCAACATCAAAGAGATGGTGTCTATCGGGGAAGTGGCCAGTGATCAAGTGCAAGGCGGTCGGATTGTAATCATCAAGTCTTCAACTATTTTGATTAAATAAACTTTTTTACATGATTTGGCGTGAGTCTTACTTTTTGTTAATGTATAAATAAGTTTAGGAATAGTTACGTTGTAAGCTCGAAGTTAATTTCATTATAATTTTGCATACCGACAAAAAATATATTGGTGACAAAAATTGAGACAAATATATTAGAGAAACAAAAGTGCGAATTTCGGTAACAATATTGAAAATGGTATTTTTATATTAAACGTAAAAGTAACATTTTTATTTTTAAATTTTAATGTATGTGAAGCGAAGTTATTATTACAATAAGTACAAACTTGTTGATGAAAGATATTTGGCTCGGCCCGGTGTACGTATATTAACACTATGGTCTAATTCATTAAAACTTATAACAGCCTTGAAGCAATACATGAACGAATTGGAATTCCACATAACAATGTGAGACTGTTATAAATTTTATGAATTATATCATCAATCTTAGTCTGTAATAGAATGGGGAAAGCCATAAAAATATTAGAGTTAAAGATTAATAATATATCAGCATTGATAATATAAAGATTATAAATACGCTTAAATAAAATATTTTTGGCTGAATTCGTTGTTTTATTGAAACTGCACGACATACTTATGACGAACTAGACTTTATTTGATGGAAGTACAACAGCTGTTAATACATTGTATCTCTTTGAATCTTATTAAAATAAATTAAGTAAACGCCTGGCATCCTGGTAGCTTTAGACAGGTTTTTGTGCAAATAAGTACATTATTGAGCAATGTGTTACGCCCGAATACTGAAAGGCTACTCAATTATAAGTTTTACTTAATAATCGCGCCATCTCTGTCATTCTCTAAAGATTTTGCAGAGGTAGAGACAGAACTAAGCTCGACTTACAATTGAGTGGCGTTTGAGTATTTGGACATTAATCTTATAATCTAAACGTCAATTTTTTATTTTAGGCTCAACAAATAACTTCTCGTTTCCCATTACTTATAATCTCGTAAGTGCCATCGTCAATAATCTTGTATTTATCTTGCCTGTAATTCTTCAGGTTGTGGAAGAACCTGATCATACTCTCGTCACGAATTTTCGTCACCACCGAAGGCAGAGTCTTCGTTTTCGCTTCATCAGCTAATGATGCGTAGTATTTTTCCTGAAACAATAATTACAATATTAACTCGTCGAGTACCGGTTTTGTAGACACAATTATAGAACAATAGGTTGCGGTCACCGGTGACCGCTTGGTGTTTGACAGTTTAATATAAAGATAATTAGACAGTAAATACTGAATTACATTGGTCAAGGTCAGGCTGCGAAATTAAATCAGAGAAAGATAGAAATATCGAATACCTATTATATTGTTTATATTAATTAGTACTCGTAAGAGTCAAAATACAATGCAACAGGAAATATGCAATAACAAACATTGGTTATTCAGGAAATAATGGGTAAAGTTGGTAAGTTAAACATTCATCCTTGTTTTGATTGCAGTGAGGAAGACGTAACGATAAATAAAAACAGTAAACGATCGAGCCAAGGCAAACATTCGATAACCTCCACTAGGCTGAACTAAAGTGCAACTGTATACCGGTCAAACTTTGAAGTGAATGCAAGCCAGTCAGTCCGTAGTGCCAAACAAGCGACGATTGTATCAAGACGTGCCGCGCGTACTACAGTTATTTAGTTCATTGGATTCGAGTTCGACATTCTACAATCGCTTGCGGTTTATGAACTCCTGGTATTTGTATATAAGTGATTGCAGTGTTTATGAAAAATAAAATATTATTTCTTTTGTTTTTTATTGGAATAATGACGTAGGTACAATAATCCCCTTTCGTATTAATTAGGTGAGTGAGTCTGAGTAGTTAATTCATTTAATTCGTGGTAATTCCGTAATTATATAAATGTTTTAATTTAAAATGATAGTGTGATGATGTTTGTGAAATAAATAACACTTTGCTTATTTACTTAGGTGCTCGTGGTTAAGGACTAGGGCACCATTGGACCATTATAATCTATCTGTTTACCTGTAGGTAATTTGAGACCAGTAAAATAATCGAACGAACGTAAGTATTAGTAAAAAATGCAACCGACTTGGTTAGATAGAACGATCTGAATATTGATAGCCTTTTTTATGGGATAATGATGGGATGGGATATGGCCGGTAAACGAGCAAACGGATCACGTTAGCAATCTGCGCCGGCCGTGGAGTCATGGTCACCCGAAACATCGGAGGCGTAACAAGTGCGTTACCAGCCTTTTGGGGAATAGGAATTTTAGGATTGTTGGTGATTCGGGGATTGGGGATAATTTTAATATAGATCAACCACTTAATACGCACGGTGGATTAAATCTATTGCTAGATTCATGTTTAATAAGGTAAACATCATGTCCATATTCTTCTGGCCTCACTACAGTTTATCTGAAGAAGGTGTAAAGGCAATCGGTAGCCGGAAAGTACGCAAGGAAGAAAAGTAAGTAAAAAGTGTAACTACAGAAAGCAAGAACATTGTTTTAGTAGTAGAATTATCTAATATTATCGTTGGACATTCATACATCCCTAAAGAACCTAGGTTGTTACTAATTAGGACACACGCACATAAATTAGATTTTGATTTCTGAACAACGAACTATGTCATATTACTTTACAAGTTTAGATTGCACGTACTAGGCTTCCATATTACGTAGGAGTTCAATCAAAAAGTTCGAAACTAAATATCCCTTACAACCCATGAAAGATATTATTTTCTTTATTGCGCTTGCTTGACGCAAGTAAAGAAAGAGAAGAACTTGAAAGAGTACAGAGTTAGTACCATAAAATACAAAGAAAAGACTTTCTTACATTTAAAAATGGTTGTGAGTTTTTTTGCTGAAGAAATTTCGATTAGCAATGAAACGTAAGATTATGTTCTGTAATATTCTTTGATTCACTAGGAGAACAGAGACTGCGAAATATAAGAAGTAGTACTATGTGTTTATTTGTCATAAGGAGTGTAATATTTTTAATTCAATAAGCTATATAGTAAACATTTAAGCGTAACACATAGTGATAAATAGTAAGTAAGTAACCTGTATTGCCAACCTTTTAAATATTAAAGGGAAACAAAGATATCCTGTACACATTTATTGCATTAAATCTCAGATTTTGTAGATAACCTAGATTATATTTTTAGGATTATGCCTATTTAAAGTTAAAGCTAGGTTAAGTTAAATAGGTATAATATATGTAATTACTACGAGTAACTAAAATATGTAACGTACCTAAACTAAATTACATTATAATCATTTAAAGATAAAGTAAAAAATGTTCAAGCAGTTTATAATATTGTAACTCTCTACTGAAAGAAGCAAAAATAAAATATGGTTTATACATTGTAAAAGTTCTCAATAACAAATGAAATGATTGTCGTCCAAGATGCAGTACACATCGTTCCTATAGTTGGTGAGATTATCGAGGAATTTCTGGCTGCTGTCATTGTGTACCTTCGTGAAGACTGGCGGCAGAGGGACCGTGCCGGACTCCTCTGCCAGCGACACGTAGTAGTCAGCCTAGATGTAACGTGTGACCACACATGATAATAGAATTCAATAATGGACCTTCGCTAGTGCCTCTTATAAATAATTGCCCGTTGTATTCTGAATAAATAAATGCGTCCTACCGACTTAGACCTTTCGTTAGCATTTTACTCTTACTGACCCCTGGTACCCTAGTGATCCTGGTGTAGGCAAGTGCACCAAACCTCGCTACTTTGCACTCTGTTGTTTTTGTTTGTAAATCAGTTACATTATGTTTATGTTACTCCTTGTTACTTATACCTAGATACTTACCTGTTTCTCCAAGAAGGTCTATATCATTAAGCTCATGTAGATACTTAGATAAGTGAATGTTTTGTTGTGATTACCTGGTCAGGTCCCATCATATGCGCCTGTCGTCTGGTGAAGCCCCTCGCAGCTCGGTCCCGTTTCTCTTCCTCCCAATGTTCGGCCATCTGCTCAGGAGTAGGTAGACTGAAGGTGCCATTCATTGAACGGACGTAGTACCGGACCTGGGGAAATAGTATTATTTTCCCTTAATATTTGTAAAAATTTTAAGAAGTTAGTATAAATGATGAAAGGTTGGACGCTTCATAATTTAATATAGGGTACTTTTGTCTTGTCGTCTCGTGTCTTCTATCATCCGTTATTGTAATTGTTTAAAGTAGTATATTTTTTTAAATTTATTCTCCAAATTAGCCTATATTTCATTTAACAATAAATGTACCTAGTTTAGGCATTTTGGTGTTGCTACAAAACGTCGATTTGATATGGCATAACCACGATCTAGGTATGTACATATATAGATTCGATTCTAAGGTTCTATACTATCTACTAATCTAGTTATCAATCTGTTCAAGCCATCCATATATATCAAACAGGGATAACCAACTGTTTGAAGGAAAAGAAGAAGTAGTAATTTACCTGTAAATCGAACATAGAGAAGGCGCACACATAGTAGGGCACACCGATGAAGCACATGCTGGGGTGTTTCATGTTGACCACATGCTTGTACAGGGGCTCCACGCAGTTCTCTTCCACCACGATGTCGCAGGATTCGTGGAGGAACGGGAAGTTGTACATGTAACCTTGGGATTAGAAAAATTTCATATGATTTAGCTTTCTAAACACGACCATGAATTGTTATTGTTAAGATCAATTTACATTTATAAGCAATCAAATCTTGCGCCTAAAGTTTTAGAGGTTTGTACAACGTTTACGCCTGTATGTTTCTCTGACAAATAAAAAATAAATAATAAAAACGGATCTTTCCAAAACCTTAAACTCCATTATAATATTCTTATAGCCATAAACTACATACCGGTACATAAGAAAACGACATCAACTTCATCTTCGCTGCCATCGAGGAAGTGCACCTTATCCCCTTCAAGGCGTTCCACATCAGGTTTCTGTTGCAAATTATCAGGAAACTCAGTGCGAGGTTGTTCCTTCAAGTGGTGACTCAGGATTACTTTCTTTGATACAGTCGTCAGTTCTAGGGCGATGTCCATACCTGATGGACCAGCGCCGATGACTAGGACCCGTTTGTCAGCGAAGATATCTGGCACTCGATAGTCGTGGCTGTGCATCACGTCACCTGAGCAAACGATTAGATTTTTAGAAGATGGGTGGATTTCAAGAATATCTATTTTATAGCTCATTTGCATTCTCCTGGCCTTTACCTAAGTTTCAATTTGTTAAGGTAAAATAAGAATCTAACCTTTAAATTCTTTAAGTCCTGGTATATGTGGTATAAACGGCGTATTATAATGTCCATTGCACACAAAAATGTAGTCGTACTCCTTGGTCTCTATGGCTCCATTGGTCAGGTTCTTGTAAGTGACATCCCACAGCTCTCCCGAAGGAGTTTGTTTTGGTATTACCAACTGTACGTGGTGTCGAAACTGTAATAGGAAACAGAGTAACTCTAACCTCTTGAATGCACCGATATGGGACATAATAGAAAACAAATTATGTCGCGTGGATCCGCATTTTAGACACAAGAAAATTTAAAATTTAAAAAGTTAAAATCATTTAAGTGAGTAGTAATGTAACCCATTTGCCTGGTTTGATATCAAATCATTTAATTTTTTGTCCTGATTTTGGTATTTTGTTGACTCAGAGGACAGATATTCTGATATCCGATCAGTGATGATGGAACTAATGTAAGGACATAAAATATTATTGTCTTTTTATTAGTGTAGTAAAAAATAATTATTGTGTTTTCAGCTTACTCGCGTAGGTAGGTACTTAATTATTTGATGCTATAGTAGCAGCGCGGCCACGGAATATGAGCCTCTAGCATGGCTTGAAATTAGTCGAGTTCCTCGTCAAATAATTACGTAAGTAAGCCGAAAAACACAATAATTAATTTAGTATGTCCCCGGACAGTTATAATATAAATAGTGTAGTGATAATTACGAAAACAACACTAAATAAGAGGGCAGTTCTATACGAGTTAAAAAACAAAACGCGTTATGTTTACCTTGATTTTATCCGTAACGCCATGTTTGTCTGCGTATAATTTGAGGAATGCTAGCATGTCCTTAGCGGGTAGGTAAGACTTGTCACTTTCCGGAACTGGGAAGTCCGGGAAACCCATAATTTCTTTAGGAAGGTTTGTCCTGAAAGAGAAATAAAGTAGATTCTTTACATCTTTATAATTTTTAGGTAAGTACAATTGAGCACTAGTAGCACAGAATAACCAGCAGTAGGTAGTTGTAAGTACTAAGATTTCATGAACATAAAGGAGATAAGGATTCAGGTACACAGCGGATCAATAAATTGCTTTTATTTATCGAACTGTTTACAATAATGGTCTCATCTCATATTATTTCTTCACTACTATTGACCCTTGTTTGTTTGTCGTAATAACATATTTATTATCTTAGTAAATGCTTCAATTAAAAGTTAATTATTATGACACAAACAACGCTAGACATCGCTACCTTGAACCACGTGCAATTGTTAGTTTTGATAAGTGCGAATATTTACGGAACGGTATGTTTTAGTCTAGAATAGCATGAACGGACGTATAGAAGTAAACATTTAACTAGTGTTATGTTGGAGGTGAATACGATAGCATAACATTCGCAAATCGTGGTACATAACTAAACAATTACATAGACAATCTACCAAAACACTTTTCCAAAGAAACAAATTATTTGTACCTAGATTTAATCATTCTGGACACTAGTGCTATTTTCAGATTATATTGTAAGGAAAATGAGCGTTTATTTACATGATGATGATATAGGAACACCCACAAATAAATAAACTCTATGATAATAGAAAATAGAACACATAAACCTAATCATATTTCTAATCACTCATTTCTAGAATGTACGAAAGGCTCATAAATATCTTCCAGTTACTCATGTTGTCCTGATAGCCTACGACCCTCGATATGAGCGTGTCGTAAGCTGAGATGTTGCTATGGCAGCTTTGAAGAAGGATAAATAAATAAATACCGACAGAATAAATAAACATACACGTATCTATTAAGTCATTCAAATTCTTTTGGGCAATTTTGAATTTTGAAATTTATAAATTAGAAGGCAATGCTTTCAGAAATTTTAAAATCATGGTAAGGTGTAAGGACCCCTCCGTACCTTAAACTCTTGTACATGCTGGTGTGAATTGGAAGTCCAAAGTCATCATATCCCACATTCTCAGTGTAGACCCAGGTACCGCCGAGTTGAGGAGCTTGCTCCAGGATATCCAGCTGGCTGACACATGGTTCTACTAGGAGGTGGCGAGCAGCGCACAATCCCGCTGCACCAGCTCCAATAACGCATACACGAACCATTCTGAAACAAAGCAAAGAAAGTTAAGATACACTCTTAAGGGTTTATGACTGCCCGGTAGGGAAACTTACGTCCGTCTATTTTAATTAGAGTGAAAGTGACTTTTTGTCTTCTGTTAATAAAAATCGGCAGGTGTTTATCTATCTAAATTGCTTATTTTTTAAAATAATTGTTTGTTTATAAATTCTTGTTCCCAACTAACTACAAAGTTGACTAGTATGAATTTCTAACTTGAAATCCTGCAGTAATTCACCGAGGGATGTGGAAACTACCATTTTTTTCTTCTCCTCTTATAATTCGTTGCGGGAACCAAGACAGTTATTAATGTCCATGGGACGCGCCGGACTTGTGTCCCGGTGTTTTCATGGTTGTATAGTATGTACTATAGATCCTATGCCATCTTACAGGAGTTGCAGCAGTTTTGGGAGGTTGTGGCGGGCTTATCCCATTGCCTTTATGCTTAATTCATTGTGTAGTATGAATTTCGATTACAAAAATTGTTTGCTGACTGAACTTCAGGGGGCCGTTCGGAAACAATATCGCAGAATAACCATCAGTACTACCTTTTAATTCACATTGCCTGACATTGGTATTGTAATATTTATGGAACGAACAGCTTCCGATGTTGAAGAAACAGCATTTCGTAAAAAGGAGCGCAGGAAGTCATTAATATTGTAAGGTCTGTGTATCGACTATCGAGCAAGTGCAAAATAATGGCTTTACTGACACAACTCGTTGTTTACTATGGAAAGATAATGTAAACATTATAAGACCATAATATTCCATAGCATTGACATTGATTACGTCACTGAATTAATTGATATACCTACTGGATACTTGTGTATGCGACAATACATACCTAATTTATAATTATTGTGGAAGTGTGTAGATGAGAAATACATACATATATACCCACTAACTTATCTACGAAGCTCTCACTGATCGCATAAAAATCACATAGGAACACTCACTACAACCTTCAACTTCACATGTACTCTATCGATTATTTATTCGATTTCCGATATCGAATCGATATCTTGGCATCGATCCCTACTAGATCTGGATCACTGCCAGCCTGATGATATACGAGATGAGATAACGTCACTTGTTTAGTTCATTAATACAACAATCTTGCAATTACTTGTAGTAAGTAGTACAATTTCAATGTTAGGGCTGAAGTTTAGAATCAAGTGTAGTTTAGATAAGGAGCGATTTGAACTGGATTGACTTGCATCTGTTTACTGATAAATGCCTTAGGTAAGTTTACATAGCCTTGTTGTTGTTATTTTTATTACTTTTACTTATTATATATTTTGTATTAATATATTTTTTTGTTTATTAACCGTAATTCCCTACCCTAACTACTTATTTCTCTTCATATTTTCTTTCTTAAAAAGGGTAGAAACTGTCTAGCTTTATCCCAAACTACTCGGTATCGGCTCAAGGTATATTTTTCCATTCTTCCCGTGTGTTCTCTTTAACTTCTCTTCCTCTACTCTATTCTATACAGGGTATGAACGGGACGCTACCGAAACGTGGACAAAAAGAATTGTTTTTACCATTTTAATAGTTTTTGTTTCCGTGTTATCCATGCAACATCAGCCTTGAGCAGTTGATTCAACTCTTCTTTAATTCTTTATTTTTATGAAAATAATACTTGTTGTTGTTTTTTACTATCACCCGCCAGCGTTTTTCGGGAGCGTGTATATCTATCTTATATGCTGCTACTTCCGCGTAGTTTCACACGCTCTGCTCAGCTCTTATTGGTCGTAGCGTGATGTTTTATAGCCTATAGCCATCCTCGATAAATGCGCTATCCAACACAAAAGGAATTAGTCAAATCAGACTTGTAGTTACGGAGATTAGCGCGTTCAAACAATCAGACAAAAAAGAACAAACTCTTCCGCTTATAGGATAAGATATAAGATATACACCATGTATATCCTTTCACTCCTATCGGAGTATCTGGCTATCAGAAAGAGAATCAAATTATTCTACTAATAGGATAGGGTATATACTAACACAAACGTCTTTCTCTCCCATGCCATTATTAATCTATCTATTTATATTTAGTTTGTCGTCCTGTTCTTTCCTATCCTGCCTACTCAGGTACTTATTAATTTTAAATTGAAAAGGTTCTTACGTTAACAAAATTAATCAAGTTTCTTCGGTATATTTCGCAAGTTGTTATCTAGGACCTAAAGGCTAAAAGTCAGTTGCCGTTCACGCGGTAAGCTGGAATCGTGCAACGAGTCAATGACCGGTTAGCAATCGCCGTATTATCTATCATTAGGTAGGTACTTAGATTCAATGAATAGGTTAATTATTATAGATATATTTTACGTTAAAGTTTAGGTACTATTAAGTTGATTTAGACGGAGGGACGAATAATCAATTTGACACTTACATTTGAAAAAATAAGGTTTTGATTGCCAGTAAAGAACTGTTGCTGTAACTTCGATCACCGGTGACCCCCATGGCGTTTAATGTGTTAATAAACCAATAGAGTTTTCCAGTCTAGTCTAGTCTAGTCTAGGTTAAGCTTCCGTCAATTATAACAACTACGTCTATATCTATAATGATTTGTAACAAAGAATTCGGTTTGGCCGATTGATAGTTTAATCACAATTGCTCATTTTAATTTGATTAAATCTAGCTCTATTTTTTCACCAATTTTTTTATGGCATAAGCCGGATACGAGCAGACGGATCATCTGATGGTAAGCAATAGGCGTCGCCCATCGACACTTGGAACACCAGAGGCGTTAGGCGTTAGGCGTTGCCGGCCATTTGGGGATTAGGAGTTTGAGGATTGTTGGGGATTCAGAGATTGGGGAGATTGGGGAAGGGGAGGGTAATTGGGCCTCCGGTAACCTCACTCACACGACGAAACACAACGCAAGCGTTGCTTCACGTCGGTTTTCTGTGAGGCCGTGGTATCACTCCGGTCGAGCCGGCCCATTCGTGCCGAAGCATGGCTCTCCCACACTTAAAATATTCACACATATATAATTATAAAGCTTTTGATTAGAAAGAGTCATGATACTATTAATTATTTATATTCTTAGGACTTATGTAGCCCTGGTCACATACTGCACTATCACATTATGCAACATAAGTAGATATAATAATGACCTCTTTCTCTATATTTGAATGTTATGCATCCAATTAATATTTACTGGGACTCAACTGTATTCGACAGATGTATAACTAAACAATTAGTGAATTTGGTAGGATGCAGTAGAAGATTTTTCTAAAACATTCTCAATGAATAACACAAGTTATAAGTGCGACCTCCTAATCCATGAACCCTTTCTATCTATGTATATAGTTTTGGACAAGAGCCAGGTAATGTTATTATCTACTTACATATATTATTAAAAATATGGCTGTAATTAAGCCATTATGTTTAATTTTTCTTGTGTTTTTTCCCGAGAATAGTTTAGGCTATAATGACACTTAATTGTAATAATTATCTGAGCTGAAACTGACGCTCATGTATAGTTTTAATCTACAATTTACAATTTATTGGCAAATTAAGGAAAAGGATCACCGTATCACATTATTAAATAAAAATTATATTAGTTTAATTGTAACACATAACATCACGCCTTTTATCCCCAAAGGGGTAGGCAGAGGTGCACATTATGCCACTGTACAATGTAACACCCACTTTTCACTATTTATGTTATGAGTCCCATGTAATAGGGGTGAGTCTATTGCCATATACCGGGCACAATTCCAGACCCCGTGCTACTACTGAGATTAAAAAAAACACGGTAGTACATTGCCCGACCCGGGAATCGAATCCGAGACTCCTTGCCCGGCAGTCACACTTGCGACCACTCGGCCAACCAGGCAGTATACAGCAACGTACTCTCGTCTAGATTTTTTTAACCGACTTCAGAAAAAGGAGTATGTTATAAATTAACTCGTCGAGTACCGTCATTATAGACACAATATAGAACAATAGGTTGCGGTCACCGGTGACCGCTTGGTGTTTGACAGTTTAATTAGACCCTACTTCTATTTGTATGTTTTTACAATGTATGTAGGTAGTATCTACCTTGGCATCATATCGATTAAGTACCTAGTACGCGTGTTATCGATAAGAGAGTATCCGCAATGTGTCCGACTTTCCCGCGTTATGGTCGCCGGGTCAAACGACCTTGTATCACCCACCACTAAGCATTACAGTCGACACATTTTAATATCACGCTTATTTATCTTGGCGGGATGAGCCGAAGTGAGTCAAAACTAATTTATCAATATTTTTTTTTATTTATAAAGCCGGCTATAAAAGCGTCTATTAAACTAAATTGTCAAATACTATATGTTGAGAATACTTTTTTTATTGTTTTCATTTTTTTATAAAATTTCTTTTGTAAAGTTTATTTATAAGTTATATTTTGTATAACCTATTGTGTATGAAAGGCAGATCAGGAATTAAAGATGCTGTGGATTTATGAATAAGAAAAATATGAAACCTACCTTTTTCTCTATAAAATTAACACTGACAAATTAAAAAAATAAAAATATCACTAAACTGTGTATAACTGAAAATAACAATGTGACGCGTGTAGTTCACGACTGCACCGGGCAACGTTTGGTGAGCAAATGCGGTGGACGCATGCGCAATGCGGTTTTATTTACCGTCAGCGCACACGCATGCCGCGGTAAAACGCCAATAGAACGCTTCTATCATAGAATATTAGAGAAAAGTTCTTATTAGTAAAATATAGTACTTAAAAATGTCCGTAGATACGAAAATTAATTACGTGAACCTGTTTCAATCATTGCAATAAATATTTAGAGCGGTCAATATTATCTAGGCTACTACTACGGAAATAGGTGTATACCTAGGTATCTAAGTACATAATTATTAAAGTATGTATAACTTACCATTTCTTTCAGTCGTGACGTCAAACTGATATTCATCTAGGTAAGTACATAGAGGTACTACCTAATTTACCAAGAAGATTACCTACATTATGAATTTGTTATCTTTTAGGATAATATTTTAGTATCTAGGCATTAATAACATACCTATAATCAGTCATCAGAAGATTTCGTAAAAGGTCTTAATACCCGTAGTTATTGGCAATCTTAAGATCAGGCTGTCCTACATTAACATATTGCTGCGAGCCTGGTACCTAGTCTCACCTGACCTCTAATCTTCTTGCTGTCTTTACTTGATGAAGGGAGTAGTAAGGGCTCCACCTGATCTGGCTGACTGGCTGTATCGTCTGACGAAACTAGCCAAGTACCTTGCATAGACACCTTCCGGTGGGAACGAGATAGCAATATAAACAATATAGTTTTCTCTATCTGGACTTAGAGTCGTCTAGGTTTGTTCTACAATGGTTACAATTTTCTCGTGTTGATTTTGTGGTGGGATTTTAAATGTAAATCAGTTTAATGCTATTCTTTTAAAGGCAACATACTTTAATTTTGAGTGTGTAAATATTTTTCTTTCTTTGGTTGGAGTGTTCCTAATAACTGAATAACCCATAATAATACTTTAAATAATTCATAAGTCTATCAAACTAAAAAGAATTCAATTGTATCAAACGTTGTTTATTTAATCATTATAAATCAGTAGGTACACACGGCCACATCAATCTATACAAATCCAGTTTATCTTGGTGTCGCGTCGCATCATCTTTCCGCACATTTAACGTTCAGTTTATACTGGTTATGTAAAGCTCGATGTGTAGCCATGTGCACCTATTACATTTTCAAAATACCTAATTTCATATGGAACGTTCTAATCTGATGAACTGTTTATTCACTATAACTGTATCGAAATGTAAACAGTAGAAGTGAGGTGTAATATTTTGTCGACATCGTAGAAATTTGATTAGAAGCAAACTACACCTAGTAACGCCCGGCGCAAGCGACTGATGCAACATAGAATATGTCTTGCAGGAGAAATAGACGAGAAAGGGGCTGCTGCGCTCAATTTTTTATGCATAGCTATGCAGGTAGGTAGTCCTGTATTCCTAGTACATTTTTAAGAATATATTTTGAAAACAAACCGTATAAAAACTTGATATTGATTTGTTTGTAAGCCGAAAAATCTGTTAATAATAATTCCATAATTTTATAAGTGTTATTTGTTGTTTACACCGCCTTTATGGTAATAAACTGATTTTTAACTAATTGATGACTAAATGATAGAGTAATTCGTGGTTCAGATGTAGTGCTTTCGTGTTCTTCGTGGACGGACTTCACAGACTGCCATAGTCAAAGGGCTGCCCAATTCAAGCTTATAATAAAATTAATCCTAGTATTTATTTGTGTTTAGACATAACCAGTAATATATTATACTTGTAGTTGTAGATGACCTAATAGTAGATAACCAAGGGCTTTCTCGAACCAAACTGATTAATTCCAGTTTCCGCCCTGTTGTTGACTTGTTGCATCCAGTTACCATTATCTCATAGTTGACAATGATAAACATACACACCAGTTTCATAATTGGAGCAACCTATATGATATCAGTATTTGTATCAGGGTGCTATGAAAACGATGTGCAGAGCTCAAGAAAACTATACAAAAGTCGCGATATGCATAGCATACACTGTAGAACATGATACAGATTGCAAAATATACATAAGTACAGGTAATTGTAAGTAATATTAAAATTAGCATGTGTGAATTAAGAAATTAAATACACCTTAGTAACACACACCGTAGTTTTCCTTTGCTTTACTTCCAACAGTGGGGCATGGTATGGTATGGGACGTTGTAACACATAGACACCGTTACTTATGCACCTCGGTTACATGTGTGTCTGATGTAACACACGGAACCTTTGCACCAGGCGTACAGTGGACGGTGGAGATGTTTTGTTTGTGTTGGTCGAACATTATGACTCATGACGTCAGCGAAGTGACCGTATTTCATAATCGTCACAGTATACAATTAACGCGATGGGGTATTGAGGATGTTCTAGCGCAAGTATGCTCCTCTAGTATCTGCGTAGCACTAATTTAGTCTTTGCAAATGGGATTTTATGTTATTTTAAGTAGGTAGTTACGTTAGTTCGCAAGCCTTTACTAGTATTATTTAAGTCAATCTCAAGGAAATAGAACTTTCCGAAACAAAATAATTATGTCAAATAACAAAAACAAGTGTGTTTGTATGTTATAGTTTTACGATAAGATGGTAATATTGAGTCATATCTACCTTTAACCTACTTTACAGGGCAAAATTCTAACTTCTCATTCACTCTACATATAATGTATTGACTGCACGGTTATCGATTGCACAACTTGATTCCGCCTAGTCCTTTCCATCATCGTACCACAAGACAATCGGCGAGGCGTCACCGATCCATGGTAAATGCACACCCACACGCACGAAGCACTTCGCATCAAGCTCTTTGTGCGTACTGCTAAGGAGTGGAATTCTTTGCCAGACTCTGTATTTCAAGGGTATGTATAACCTGGGAGTCTTCAAGACCCGATTGAATAGGTTGCTTATGGGACGACGTGCTCAGGCGAGATAGTGGTCAAACGTCATCCCATCAAATATGGTCCTGCGCATGACCTCTCTCCGGTCGTGGCTCTCATCGGGTTCAGAGAATAAGGGAACAGAGAGTGCATCTGTGTTTGCGAACACACTTGTGCACTATATCTCCTGCGTAGTGGGCTAGTCTAGTTAGACAGACTGGCCACCATGATCGAAATGGATCGGGAATTAATTTTAATATATTGATCTACTATCTACCAATAATTACCTAATTACATATTCTCGAAATATTTATCAATTAGGTAATTAATTAGTAGGTACCTAATTCTTATCCGCCACAATGTAAACTTCGTCTCGCGCTTTTAATCTTTGTTATGTCTCTAGTTATAATTATAATTAAAACAATCGCTCATCGTTTACTCTTCACTTTATCGTTTTTACGAGAAAACGTTATCGTGACTGCCTACCTAGTAACTAGAAGTAGATATTGAAAAAGGAAATGAAAATTATTTTATACATATTTTATAATACATATCTTTTATTTTGTTAATAAAACCTGAGAACTTATGCTGTTGTTGAAATTACTCGTTGAAAATAGAAATTTAGTAAATAATTTTAAGTGGAATTTGAAATTGACTGCCATTTTTTTTGTGTTTCATTGAGTTGTATTTCGTCGTGTGAGTGAGGTTACCGGAGGCCCAATTACCCCCCCTTTTTCTCCAATCTTCATTTTGAGAATTCTTGGGGATTCAATCCCCAACAATCCTCAAATTCGTCAACCCAAAAGGCTGGTAACGCACTTGTAACGTCTCTGGTGTTCCAGGTGTCCATGGGCGATGCCGATTGCTTACCATCAGGTGATCCGTCTGTTCGTTTACCGGTTTATCCCATACAAAAAAAAAATGCGTCGAATGAGTCACGGGTTCGATTCCAGGATCAAGTAAAACATTAAATCTAGTTCGAAATCGTAATCGAGTTCTAAATTCACAGAGGAGCCTGCTTGGTTTACAATCCATACTGTCTACTGTACAGACCTATTACAAATAGTTCCTATAAGATAAAACTTAGCGTAACTGCGCATTTATGCGGATTGCGTAGGTAAAAATGCCAGGCGCTTTACCACACTAAGCTATTGGATTTTAATTTTTTAATCGCCTAGTCGGTTCGTATGTTGAATTACAGTACGATATTAAGCTAATCTATAAGGTACGAGGTAACAACACCAGGTAAAGTCAGTAGATAACATAGGGTCATGTCACATCATGACCCTATGTTATATACTGCTGGGACTGGGATCCAAGCCCTACGCACGACCCAATTTTGGATCAAGGCATGTTTAATACATATTTTGATTATTAACTATTATTTATTGATATAGTTAGGCAAATTACCCTATTTCTGACCTGTTATCATTTCTAAGGTCAGTTCAGTTCAGTTCAGTTGTGTATATTTCCACGAAGAGCTGAAGTTGTGACTGAAAATAAAATGTTGTTACTATGTTCTATGGTTGTAATTGTAAAGATTTGGCTGCTATGAATTAATTAGCAAATTATATTTGTAAGTCCTTCATAGTGATTAATATTGTTTGGATCTTTCTCGTTTTGGTAACTCGTATTCTCATTCTTAATTTCGTTTAAATGTCTTTCATTATTGGAGCAAGACGAGTAACATACATTAATTTGCTGTCCCTAAAAATATCATCTATATTTGATTTACTGAAATTAAAGGTTTAAATAAAAAAGATTTTGAAACACGTCTTAAACTCGTAATCGTATCGATGTTAGAATCCAAACGTTAAATCTGTCAACAGTAGTGACAACAAACAAAACTGACGTTGACGGTTGACAAACGTCAAATTCGTCAAAACACTGTCGAAGAATGGAATCAATTGTAAACAATAACAAAATAATGTAATTCTATCATTAATTGATAAGATTATTCAAATGACATGAACTTGAGAGTATCACGCGCTTAGAGATGTTGTAACACAGGCAACATGGATGCTGACGACCCTAGAAGACCTTTGTTGGGTAAGTAAAATGTTCTAACAAACTTCTAACATGTAGGAACAATGATTCATGAATTAAAGATTGTACATTACCAACAACGCCTATCTTTTTTATAAAGGGCATTGTACCTATTATCAAATAAAGCAACAGTTTGCAACGCAATTCTTTGTTAAATTTAAACACTGCAAAATCATTAGGCTGAATGCTACTTTTTTATTTTGCTATAATCTATGCCTGTGTTTAGATAACATTCATTGTCTTTTATAAGTTTTCATGGAATACTATGATTACTATGGTTTTGTCTAGCCAAGCCATAATAAAGTGACTGTTATTTTATGAGTATAGTAAACTAAGTGTATTGGGAAAAATTCCATTCGAAGTGGGCGGACTATGGTTATATTACAAATGTAACTGTTTAATTCTACAATTAGGTATGTGTTATACTATAATTATATAAAGTTAATTCCATCCATACATGATTGACAATGCCTACATTTGTTAAATTGTTGTATTGAAACTATAGCATTGTCCGAGGACATGGGCCTTTGTAATTATAAAGGCTCTTTATACTTTAAAGGCTTTTTATCATTATGCTCAATTTTTGGTTATTTATAATTGACTATAATAATACCTAAATTATTTTACTCTGAAGTAACTTAACATTTATAAATTTGGCCAGTCGTATAGAACACTGGCTTTTACCGCGGCCTTGCCCGCGTTTTATTCCATGGACGCATTTAATCAGGATAAAAAGCATACTATCACTTAAGTCAGCCCATACCCTACCAAATTTCATCAGAATTCGTTCAGTGGTTTCAGTGTCATTGACGGACAGACATCCAAACAAAGAAACTTCACATTTGTAATATTAGTGTGATATTGTAGATACAATATTTGTTACAAGTTTACTAAGTTTATTTTTAATAAACATAAGTTAATAAGTTTTTCTCATGTGTCACACTTGAAACATATTTTTTTACATATTAAGTACTACATCAACATCACAAACACATCCACCGGCTAGACAACTTCTAGATCATTTAAATACTTGTTAATAAATAACCAAGTTCTAATAACAACCATAAAACTTTCTTACAATATTGATCATGTAAAGGTGTGCAACGCACTTGTGACTCCTCTGGTGTTGCGGGTGTCTATGGGCGTCGCTGATCACTTACCATCAGGTGATAACTATGTCTGCTCGTTTGCCTCCTATTCCGTAATAAATGTAAGAGTGAAACAGGGTATTAAGAAAAAATTCTTAAGAAGAAAATGCTACAACGGTGAATGCTTTCTAGAACAATAATGACTATTTCTAGTACTACTATCATATTAAACAAATCCTACATACAATAAAGTAATAAGGAGGTTTAGTATTAACTCAAGCCTACTATAAAATGATTATACAGCTCTTTACAATCTCATCCCATTTACTTAATTGTATTATGTTTGCAGATAAAAAAGCTTATCGTACAAGCATGACTTTAAATAATTCTGTTATTAACTACGTTTAAAAAACACTACTTCAACTCCCTCTCTTTTTGTCGCGGAGAACCTAACGGGTTATTGGGCCTCGGCTCGAAACGCAAGAGAAGGAATGGGGTGGTTTTTAGTCGTACATTCCCTCCCTCCTCACCCAGGTCGGAGAAGACATTCGAAGATTTTCCCGCCTTAAAAAAAACTACCTTTCTTTTTGGAACCGCCTAAATAATATACAAACATCTTCTCCTAAGTATAAAAAACACTTTTCTGAAACCGCATCAAAATCGGTTCAGCTAATCGTGAGATAATTGCGCACAAACATACACACATACAGATCAAATTGTAACCTACTTTTTTGAAGTTGGTTAAAAACTTGGAGTCATATCAATAAACATTTGGATGTAAACATGGATTTAAGGCTGAATCAAGGAATATCTTGAACAATTATTTTAATTTAATTATTTAAACAATTATTTTAATTATTTTAACACCAGACTAACGTAACGTATACGGAGGACTTAACGGGTTGCCGGGGCTCCGGCTCGAAGGACAGGAGCAAGGACGGGATGATTTTTAGTCAGTAAAAGTCTGACACTCTCTCCCGCTTCACTCAGGCGGGAGAAGCTATTCGATGATTTTACCCCCTTAAACTGTCAAACACCGCGGGGACACCGGTGACCGCAACCTATTGTTCTTTAATTGTGTCTATAATGACGGTACTCAAAGAGTTGAAAAAGACTATAAGCTACATACATAACATCACGTCTTTCTTCCCCGAAGGGGTGGGCAGAGGTGCACATTATGGCACTTAATGCCACTGTACCATATAACACCCAGTTTTCACTATTTTACGTTATGAGTCCCATGTAATAGGGGGTGAGCCTATTGCCATATACCGGGCACAATTCCAGACTTCGTGGTACCACTGAGATTTTTTTTAAAACCCAGTAATACTTTGGCCGACCCGGGAATCGAACCCGAGACCCCTTGCTCGGCAGCCGCACTTACGACCACTCAGCCAACGAGGCAGACTATAAGTTACTTATCTACAAAACTAAAAAATAAATCATCATTTTACTTTAAAACAAATCACTGATAAGTAGAGCTAACTCCATAATGCATGATTCGAAATAGACTTTACCTTTATGCAGATGATTGACTTTTAGTATAAAAAATTCAAAACATGCCAAAACGGTCATCTTTTGGGATAGGTCAGCAAACGAGCATATGGATCACCTGGATGTAAGCAATCGACACCGTCACGCACGTCACCTATGGACAACTAATGGGCTGGATAACGACTGCCGTTGCACCTTAAATGGTGTTTTACAATTTAATTTTACAATATTAAATTTAACAGTTCAGTAAACTTTTTTTATAAATTGGGTTGAGTTCAGGGTATCAAAATTAAAAATCTAATTAGTCCTTCAATAAGATAATGAAAAAATATTACCTACACACTTATTTTTTTATTTTCTCGTATTAAGTTGCAATACTTAGATAAAATGGCGCTAAGTTTAGGAGCGGAAGGTCGTTACGTCATAACGTGGTACAAAATGTAACACGCTGTGACGTCACACGATATTTATCGTCGAAAGTATTTAATTTTTTGAGAAAAGAAAAAATACGGTCTTAAGTTTTAAATTAATGTACCAGACGGACATTAAAATAAAATTTAGCACTAACTACCCTACCCACTTGTATACATCGTTAGAAATCGTAGCTCGCAACAGAAAGACTCAATATTCAAAATCAGACTACCTAGTACGAACCTTCAAAGTCAAACGCGATTAGACTAAAAGAAAATACTTCTAAGATTGCAGAGAATGATACTTTGTTAAACCTGTGCTACTATAATTAACCGATGTATGTAAAAGCAATTAAATCCACGCGGTAATTACCTCCATCTATATTAATTACACTACATATGTAGGTATATATAGCAAGCAGGTTTACTTATCGCCGGCAGATATAATGAAAAACTATTGAGATTACATACCAGCGGAGAAGTATTCATTTGTATAGTTAATTTTACATGACAAAACATAACATCACGTCTTTTATCCCTGAAGGGGGCAGAGGTGCACATTACGGCACTTAATGCCACTGGACAATGGAACACCCACTTTTAACTAAGTATTTATATTATGAGTCTCATGTAACAAGGGGTGAGTCTATTGCTATACACCGGGCACAATTCCAGACTTCCGTGCTATCACTGATATTTTTTTTAAAACCCTGTCGTACTTTGCCCTATCCGGGAATCGAACCCGAGACCTCTTGCCCAGCAGTCGCACTTGCGACCACTCGGCCAACGAGGCAGTCCTAATTAGTAGATATTTGTATAAAAGCGATGATGCACTATCAGTGGCGTGCACAGGTTTTCGAGACAGGGTAGGCAACTAAATATCGTATGATTAAACCCCTCCCCCCCGCCGGTCATACAATCATGCTCACACAAGATAGGTACATGTACATAATATATTTTGAAAAGTGCGTTCAAGAATATTGTGGTGTATTGTTTCGCCAAATTACATACACTGACATCTCGCGTATTTTTTGTGAAGTACTTCATCAGCTATTGAATAAGCCAACAAAACTTACAAATAATGAAAGATCTATTATTTATTTTAATAATGAAGCATAAATTTGATGAACCAAATTTCATTATGGAATTGTTAAGGTTAATCAATCTGGTCAAAATCATAATATATTACGAATTTAAGAGCGTAGGTACCTACATTATGTCAACAAACAAAACAATAACAAGCGCGGCCGGCTGTGGCCGAGCCGGCCGAGTCTATGCGGTACATTTGTTATTACTACATTACATAAATATTAATAATAAATTAATATGTGAATCAGTACAACCCGAAGTCTAAGTTGATATTTTTAAGAATTATCAAACAATAAACAAGAAAATCAAATAAAAGATCCATTATAGTACATATTTACATTACCTACCTTTTACTTGGGTCAATTCTCGTAACTCGAGTACACCTCTGCCTATGGTCATTACCTGAATCTAGTCCGATAAAGGACATTGCGAAATCTTACTGTTTTTACTTTCAACAAACACATAAAATTACCTATTATTCACACACACTTCACAATCGAATAATATAGGTACTTGTACTAGAAACTGAGAAACAAATACACTATTTGAAAAACCTACACATATATTTAACTACTACTACACATTTATGCAACTTTATGTTTAAAACTAATTCCTAATAATTTAAACGAAAACATAAACAAAGCGATCGCACATCACATGAAAACAATATGGCCGAAAACATTGGAAATGAATTGAAGTCATTACCAATAGTCAATTGAGTGTTTATTATAAAAAAAATGTAGCTTAAAAATTAAGGTAACGCAGCGTTTAATTTCAAAAAAACAAACGTTAATTTAGTAAGTCAAATGAAATTGCATCATCGTCTTAAACCAATATTTCATACTAAAAAACATTCATTCATATAATTTGAAACGTTGTAAATGGCGCCATCTTGACGTATCAATAACTTCCTTTTAACTTT